TCCTCCTCACCTGTGTCGACCCTTTTTGAAGATGGTTTGGTTTTTGCTTAAATGCGCATGAACTTCATGTGATCAGACCGGGATTGTGCATCTCGTAGCTTTAAGAGTTTCGCCCCCGGTTACAGAATATCCATCCGCATCCATTCGAGGTTTGACGTTCGTTTCGTAGAAATCTGAAAACCTGGTCAACTCTGAACTACCAGATTGCTGTGGAATCAAGGAAATTACCACTACAGTGCCTTAGGGCCGAGTGGGTGCCGCCTGCTTCAAACCTCCCTGAGTGTATCGTGATTGCAATTTTTAGTTTTTTTTAGAAATGGCGGTATTAAACTCACTAGATCTTTTATGCATCTCATTCGTACTCGGAAATCGGCAGAGCTTTCCGCTCTATGCATGGTGACCCGACTTTCATGAACAGTCGGCACACGGCAAGTCAACGGCATATTGTGTCCGTCTTGTTTGACGTAAATCCGCTGCTGCATCTTTATGCACTTGGGAGTGGAGTTCGACAATAGAATTTTAGCAAACCAGTACAAATATGGTACGATTGCACTGCTTGAAAAGGGATTTTTCTGAACTATGTGATGTGTTTCCACATTTACCGAGATTGAAGGATATCTAGCTCAAAAACGTGATTTTTGGGTAAGCATGGTGCGTGTGGCGCGTACACGACAAAATTGCCCGAGCAATCACTTTGGAATCAAGGTAGCTTTATGATGCATAATGAGTTGTGATAAGACTCCGGCTTATGGACGATTAGCTACTGAATAAATAGTTTGGTATGGCAACAGCTATTGGCAAAGGAAATACATGGCGCTGGTTAAACATGTACCGCTTTTCACCTCGACGGAGATAGCCGAATAATTCCCAATGGGTTATAATGTGTTACTGTGTCGTGTCTGCGTCAAGCCGGCAGCAGATCTTTCTGTATTAAACAGGTTTCACCATCTAAAATTCATCTAACGAATATAAAAATCTTGCAATGTAGGGCATAAGCTGCCGCGTTGAGGCGGCTTACAAATCCCCAACCACCAAGTTAACCGGCAATCGACTGGTAGTGTGGACGATTAGCTACTGAATAAATAGTTTGGTATGGCAACAGCTATTGGCAAAGGAAATACATGGCGCTGGTTAAACATGTACCGCTTTTCACCTCGACGGAGATAGCCGAATAATTCCCAATGGGTTATAATGTGCTATTGTATCGTGTCTGCGTCAAGCCGGCAGCAGATCTTTCTGTATTAAACAGGTTTCACCATCTAAAATTCATCTAACGAATATAAAAATCTATGCAATGTAGGCATAAGCTGCCGCGTTGAAGCGGCTTACAAATCCCCAACCACCAGGTTAACCGGCAATCGACTGGTAGTGCGCAACACATTTAGCTTCAGTGGCTCCAAAAGATACTGCCCTTCTCCATCCTGCTTGAACTACCTGTGCTGGAGGCATGCTTGCGTTGCTGACGCAACATCTGCTAACATACAATTACCATCCTTTTCTAAAAACCAGATGCCTGGTGTCCGCAGCGCCCGTCGACCACCCTTGCTTTAGCCTCCACCTAGCTTTAAGGATGGACTTTCGTCGCATTGATGCGTTGTTGATGGAGGAGCCGAGTCCAGTTAACTCTTCTCTGAAATAAACAACAGGCTCACCGGCAACCAGCCATTGGAGGGAAATGATGGAACCACTACGCGTATGTTTAATCACCGTCTGCTTGCCATCAGTCTGAGAGCGCGCTTATTTTCCAGGCTTCAGTGAATGCTTTTGCCACACCTCTTTTACTAGGCATTGATTTCATTTGACATTTTTATTTGCTCATAGCCGGCAATGGTAACTCGCCACGAAACTAACGAATGTTGTCCGACTTCAATCTACTCGGACCAGACTTCACCCTTTCAGAATTATCCAACATTTTTGACCATCTGTTAGAGTATTGAGACGTTACTTTCCCCCAAAATTAGTCATTAAAAGCCGAAGCGTACGCACCAGGACCCTTGGTTCATTCTTTTGATGCCGACAGTCCCGTTTAATACCTGAAAACTCCCAGTGACCAAACCGGGTTTGAGGACGTGACACACATCTCCGTCGTCCTAATTTTGAGGGCCTCTGGGCTTTTCAAGTGCACTGGCGTAGGACATTGTAGAGAGTTGACAACCTGTTCGCAATTATCACGCCACCTGTTACTTCGCTATTACCGAGCGACACACGATCTCAAGCATTCAATACCTATATTATGGTCTTTCGGGCAGCACGATGTGTTCAGAAGTTGGCCAGTTCCGTTTGTACAAGGACAAATGTAATAAAACCCCAGTGCATACACTTTTCGGCCTCTTACAAGCTTTGGAATGCCTTTCCGTCTCAACTACGCTGCGTGGTGATCAAATATGTCATGGAAGACTGTCTACTGGTGTTGATGATACCTTGCTGGTAAGCCACTCAATACAGATTTGTTCCACCAATGCCCTCGAACGTTTGAGTTTGCTGATACTGTGATAGCAGCATTCGTGGGGCTTGGGACAGCATTCGTACAAATCTGCGGCTCGGCCCACGAAGACATCATTAACAACAGCTCTCGCTACGGAGGTCACTAGCGCGGAAGTTTCGCTCCAGCAGCGGTAGTGCACCAAAGACCGTTTGACACAGCTGGTCTTATTATCAAAAGACTCCTCCAGCCAAGGGTGTCAATTTTCAGCGCATTTGACTTTTGCACGTTAGCTTGCATTTTACTGTTAAGTATTTACATTAGATGCTAGGGTATCGTTAGCTTTTGCCCTTTGCTCAGTATGAGTTCATTGCCTTGCGCCTGACCAGCGACGGGTACTCTCCCCGAGAACCTCACCGCCTTAGATTTGGGCATGCTCATCGGTCAATAAACGTCACCTCCCAAGTAAATACATTTGTTGGCTGGTATAATCCCTCGAGTGGGCACTACTGTGCAGCTTCGACCGCATATATCATTGTTATGGCGAGTGTCAATTTGCTGAATTGGCAGATAAAATATCCCCACTATTATTATTCTTTCCGTATTGGAGATATCTGGATGTCCTCATCCAAATATGTATCTTTGTGTAATGCCTCGTCCTTCGCACCCGTCCGTATTTTCACAACGACTTTTTTCCGCCTGATCTACGCTTCCATATGCGGCCATGTTCATCTGGAGGTAAGTGCAACAGTACGTCTGTCTTCGATGGGGCTCAGTGGTTACGGCGCGAAATTATTGACCGGAGGGTCCGTGATTCAAATCTTACCCCAGCATTCTGAGTGCATCTGTCTAGGTTCGACAGCCTCTTGTTGCCTTCCCGAGTTATTGCACCTAAGCGCTGAAAAAGCATTACGTATGAACGAATAATTTCACAAGTTATTAACTCGGAAGACTTCCTATGACTGATGGCCTGAATAAGTTTGGCATCCAGCTTCGGAAATTGGTTTGGTCTGTTCTCACGTTTCACGCCAAAGGTTTCCTTTGTGTCCCGCACGAGTGATACATGAAGGCACTTTCAGTCATTCAGAGGGAGGCGCTTTTCCGGTTACCACTGGGGGGGCACTTACCTCAGAACTCAATGGTTTCGGGTCGTCCGCAAGAGGTGGACATGGGCTTCGAAGCGCATCTAGAAGGTCGCTGATATCCTAAACGAAATCTTCAATAAACTTACCATAGAATGAGTTCATCCAGCGTCCATGGTAGTCTAATCAGACAAGAGGCCTGCAGCTGCCGGATGATAATCCGTAACCAGATCTGCAGATTGGCGTGAAAATGGTGTCCCAACAGGAAGAGGGATATTTGCCTACGATAAGCGATTGGCTAAACGCCGGGTGGAAATCTCTGGCTAACGTGAGCAGGGTTTCCTTCAAAAACCTTGGATATACCTCATCCGCTGCCAACACGCTACGGGGGATTGTCTTTTGCAAAAGTTGGATGAATGCACCTCCGTTAAGACGAATTTAGTTCGAGGCTGTTCGTAATTGCGCCTTCACAAAACTGGGCGTGATGATGTCACTGAAGCAAAAGGCATTCCTGCATAACATTCTCTGTGAACTTCAGAAAGCATTCTTGGGTTGTTTGTAGGTTTCCTTTTTTGCACCTAATGGAGAATGTGGTTGGTTTGCTTCCTTGGCGTTGTCTTTGATTCCTTCGACCGCACGCTAGGTTTTCCTCGAGACGAGCACCGGATCAGCTCAGTGAATTTTCTGGGGAATGGTTGGTTGTGTTCCCCCCTGAAAGTGGTCCAGATTTTAGCTGATCAGCGGCGATACCCTTTCCTGAGTCATATGCACGCCAATACTACGCCGGGGTTGCTTCATTTTCAGCTGCTCTCCAACCCGAACTGCAAACATGGCCGAACACTTTCCAACTCGAGCTTATCAGCTTCTGGGCTTCCTGATAGTGCATATGCCTATTGATCTGAAGGAACATGACACATCACTGGATCTGCGGGATATCCGCCAGAACTGCAGAAGCTCTCAAGGTCACCCACGATAGCTATGGTGATCTGACATGCTGGCGGCCTTTTGAACGTTCTGGTGATTACTTAAATTCAGCTTGAAAACGCCCACTGTGGCTCGTACTTCAGTGATGAATTATGAGTACCATGGAAAGAATGGTCAATAAAGTTAATGGTTTACGGACATGAAAGTTTCAAACATGACAGAGACTATTCCTGAAGAAATGTTAGTTATTTTATCCATTCAATTAAGGGTTGTCATTATACAGACATGTTAAGGCAGAAGGAACATTATCTCTGAAACTTCCCTGGTCAACTAATAGTGTTAATTACGACGCTTTGAGTCGAGATACTTCAAGCTGTGATTCAGAAGTCTCTGAATTAACCAGCAGCGAGACGTGGTTATCCCTCCATGGATTAAGAGTCCACAAATTGAATAAGAACCAGTTACTCAAAGAACTTGGATTTCTTACCAAAAATGGTATCATTGTATTCAGATCTAGCCAGTTTTAGCTTTCGTGCCCATCCTCAAAAAGTATGTGAGGTCATCTTATTCAGATGGTCTGTTTCGACAAATACACGGTACAAAGCCGGACGAAGTTTTCAATGTACGTAATAATCTATCTGAGTGTCCTTCCACATGACCAGGTCACTGTCACAAGGAGCTTCCTCGAAAAGAAGGCTAAGTCACTCTTGCCCTTCCTGGAGCTATATAAGAAGCGTCTAGATTGGTTAAATAGTGGTAGTCGAACAATGTTCGGTGTTTTACAAGAACAGTCCGTGACCATTTTAATTGACGCGACGATTGGGAATGTTCGAAACGCAGAAGATATGATCAACGCCATTGCTTGTTTTCTCAAAGACCAAGTGAAGCGAATTTTGGAATTCAATTTAATACAGTGAGTTTCAGACCATAAATTTCGGTTAACATCATAATAGTTGCGTAGATGAACCGCGTTGGCTCCACCCTAACATCCAACGCGTGTCTTCAGATTCGATACGTCAAGCTTGCCAATGGCTTTACGGATTGAAGTTACCCCCTCGTCGATCAATATTCGCCATTGCCGAATGCCTACGTGATATCAGTTTATCTAACCAAGTGAGCTTAGTTTGAACGTTTACACAAGACCTTCAAAACGGAGTTCTCACGTAGAAAGCTCGGTTTTTTGCTTCAGCTCTTGTGCATGAAACATGTGTAGATTATTAAAACTCAAAAACTTCTCCAGCACATCCTCAGATAGACTACACTATCCAATGCACGCTGGAACACGAGTTCTTTCAACAGCCTGGCAAATCTCTCAGACCGACCTGCGTTTATCACCGTGTTACAACTGTTCCCTTCTTTTTCTGCAACAATAATCTCACCACCAGCTATTTTCACATGAAGTATTCATCGCCAAAACTCTTGATGACACTCAACCATCGCCACTCGGATACAGGCGTCCAAACTTTTGACTGAAACTAGTTATATGTATCATTCAGCAGCAAGCCAACACTGAGAAGAAGGAACGTCAACTTATTCTATACGTGCGCGGCCATTTTTCTCCTTTCCTAATTGGTTGATCTAGTCTTCAGTAACTGGAGTTAAGTTTACTTGGCGCGAAATTTACGGTTAGTTTTGTAACTAATTAACTCACTTACTAGTTGCTTCCAATTGGAATTCCCCTACTTATCCGTCATACTCACAAGCACGAGCTTACTTCATTTAGGTGCCACAAAAGTATGCACAGTATTCTTAGTCTTACAGCAATGGTACACATTTTGCATCCTAGTGCCATGCCAGTCTTCCAAAATATGCTCAAAAGCTCAAGTTTAAGACCTCAATGGCCGACTTGGCGATATTCCACCGTCCATACGATTAATGTCATCACAGAGGTCGTTGGCTTGTTCGCTGAGCTAGGCCATTTGATTGCAAACTTTTCAACACCAATCGAGGTGACATCATTAGTGCGTTATTGTGGAGCGTAGTACTGCGTGTTGCTGCTGAATATAGCTGTTGTGTTCCCTTCTGTGAGTCTTTTTCCAGACATTGTGCACTGGAGCGGGTCGACAGCAGATACCACAGGTCAGCGAATAAGCAGATATGACATTGGCATTGTTAGCGATTGCTGTCCATAAACCCTTGATATTTTGTGCCTTGTTTGTTATCTATAGAAGACCAAACGCAGACACTACATGAAAACGGATCAATTAATCAAACTAGAAATTTGTAAAATTTTTAGTTTCTTCACCGTAAAATGGTAAACGTAGCTCAACAGCAAAGTTAGGATAACTGAAGGGACCGAAAAGAACGTGCACAGCACTTTAGTGTACAACGATATATTTGCGTAATTTTTGTTTTTTATTTCGTCATTTTGCACAAGCCGACGGAAATACAAATAATCTAGAACCATATATGTGAGACTAGAGGCAAAATTGGCTAAAAAAGTAACATTTTCAGCCATGAAAATGAATTTTAGCAATCCACAATCAGTTATGTCTGGACGTCAGACCTCTGCGAAAATGCTTAAGTTACATGTCTGTATATAATTATTTACATTAAGGCCACCAATTTGAAAATTGCTTGATTCGTACCCTCTTTAGCTACTGTGCATTATTACTAGAATCAAATTTCTGCATGACACCACGCATTTGAACGATCTCCATGGAAATTTATTGTATTTAAAAATACTTGTCGTATGTTGTGCTGTCATGTGAAACCATGAACAACGGCATGTTTTCATCGTTCTTTAAGGACAAATCGCTGTATGCTGTGTGACGTGATTGGACCACAATTATTCGACTGAATTTCAAATTCACTGAGAAACTTTTTGCACGCGAGCTACTTTATTTACGTAAATCTCCATGAATTTCAGACGAAAACGCTCACAAATAGGTTTGGCATGTCTAATTTAAAAGTAATTCATGGAGACTTATGAAGGCTCAAAAATATATGTGCAGTTTAATGCTACCCATTTGAATAGCCGAATTCCTGCCAAACCAAAATATCTGGTGTAAAGTATTGTGAATGCTGCAAAGTTTGACTGAATATGTGGAAGGAATCTAAGTATTTATCTCAAAAGTTGAATCTTTTCAGCATAGCGAAATTAGTTTTTCTTGTCAAAAAGAGAGGAGAATGCAATTTTTCAATATAAATTATTGGAATAATTACAGGAAAACCTTGTCTTTTTCGTACATTGTGTCCCAAATAATACATACGCAAACTGTTCGGCGTTGGATTTTCGGAGAAGCATAATCAGCATAACTACATGGTTTTTGTAACTTTAAGGTGGTAGATATATCTATTGTATAGCAATTGTAGTAGTGCAACCAAACGACGCCATCAAAAAATTTTCAATGATAGATTATAACTTATCTTGGGATCTGTAAGTCATAAAGTCATTTTTGGGCCATGGTTTGTTTCATGAAGACTTTTGTTTTAAATTTGACAAAGCTTGTTGAAGTGTTAATCAACTATTTTCAGCAGCAATCCCGAGGTGTTTGCAGGTTTAGAGTACAAGATTCATGCATAGACAATGAACAGAGGCTACAGCCGGCAAGGTGACGTTGTCGTTTTACCCACTTATCAGATACTTACCTCGGTTGATTTGACAACTAAATGAACGCTGGCTAGTCAGTTTGTTTATTACAATTGGTACCTTTCTGTTCAGTGCTGTCGACATTAAAACACTCTAGCTTCCCAAAGTAAAGCGAGATTGTATAAAGATATGCGGTTAAAAAAAGTAGTCTTAGCCAAACTAAAGGACTAGATTCAGCAAGTGGCCTTTGAACGGTCTTACCCCTTTTCTACAAATGTTTTAATAGTGGCATATTTGAAAGGGCACCGTTTCTCAAAATTCTACTCGAAACGCTCTAAAAGTTGACGGTCTGGCCATAAAATGGTTTGGCATAACTGGATGCTGATAACTAGCAAGAAACCGTGCCACATGCTGAAACTGAGCCTCTTATTGGGATTATCGCACCTAAAAAATTTCACTTGGATTAAATATTGCAAGTGAAGTCAGTTTACACCGAACATCTTGGAAGCCGTTTCATTCAGGTTGTTACCAAGAGCAGTGCACACCCTTAGGAATCTCTGGGGCACACTACACTACAGTAAGCACACACTTAACTGTTATCACTCAACTGTGACTGATAAAAGCGTAAAAAAGAGAAGTCGCTGCTATCATCAACTAAGTAATGCATGCCATTTAGTTCGGTATTGACTGAACTACGCTAGATTCACATGTAAGATGGAATCCTGGTTAAAATTTCGGATTTTCTTCAGTGCCAACAGTCCAGAAATTGTAAAATCCGCTGTAGTGAAGTGGATTCCTAGTGCATATGCTATTTAGATTACGATAAGGCTGAATAGGTTTTTGAGAAGAACTCTGTAGGTAAGCTAAGTGGTGCACTGCACAACACTAGTGATTTCTAAAATCCTTAGTGGTTAAATATCCGTTGGTTTCATTTGTGTAACATTACAGTACTTTTATTCATGTTTGGTGGTTTGAGAACTTTTGCGGGCTAGTTCCATCCTGCTGCTTGTTTCGTTATGTCTCACAGAATATGTATCATGGAGACATGGAGGCTTTAGAGAGAACTACACATGACTCTTGAAGGCGTCCCAATGGGATGGACAAACTGCAGATTCTATATATACTATACGATTAATCTACAAGTAACTCAAAACAAGAATTTCAAAAGATGAGTGCATCTTTCATCTGATAATTTGTTACTCAAGAAACCAGTCAATAAGTGATCACGTGATGTGGTTTCTGTGACTGTAGGGACAATATCTGCTGTATCCTGTCTAAGTGAGAGCTGATCGCACTAAGTCCCTCCCCCATCCACCTTTATTCTTTTCTTTACAATAAGGCTTTCAAATAAGTCATGGCTGTACGGCAGTGAAGCATTGGTGTTGAGCACTGATGTCATGCTGTCGTTGATGATGATGAGGAGGAGGATCGCACTGCCGTTTAGTCACTCGAGGCCGAACAATTAAGTGTTCACCCACTGGCTGGAAGGTCGCGTGGTCGAAACTCCGAGTTTCGTAAAAATCGCACCGCTCATAAGTCTCCACAAGAATGCAACATTGTGCATTGTTTCTCGGCCGAACTGTCCATTGGAGACCATGCAAAGTCGATTGTTACATTTGCATAATAATAGATTAACCCTCTTGGCATACCCGTGATATGGTTCCTTCACCCAGTGAAAAGTTTTATTCCCGGAATGCTTTGTTCTTAGGAGAATTGTGCGTCTTCAAAAATCGGTGCAAGTCAGGCCATTCAGATCATTTTCACCAATGTATCCTTTATCAACCCATTTCACTGTCCCTACTTAGGAAATAGCGCTTGTTTGAAAGGAATGTTGATCAGTTGTAAACGCGCCGGCAAAATGCATCGAAGAATGGCGAAAGATATCCAGTGCCTTCCTCAATAATTCTGGTCCCAAAAAGATTGCCTCCACAGAGGGGAACGACTAGTCGCTGAAATTGTAAGTGGTAACTTTTTGGGCCAAATCAAATTGAAATTACAGGTTTGGAAGTCAAAATGACACATGGCGACTCGTTAATTTCTATTTCAGATATATTGTGCTGCACTGGTCTACGGATATCGCTGAATCAGCAACATAATTCTAGCAGCGTTCACTGGTATCCGGCTCCAAATGAAGAAGGATTTAGTATATAAAAAGCCTGTTGATTACTTCATTTTATTTCGTTTTGATACCTTCTCGTTATCTTGTTCAAAATTTGTGGGCTTTCTAGTCAAGTGTTAGGAGCGGAATCAATTAAATCAGTGTATGTGGGATTCATAATGTTTAGACCAAGTCATTTAGAAATACGATGAAGTGCAATTTTTATCGCACTTTCAATTCTCACCAGTTGGTCGATGATTGGAATCAAAAGCTTTCCTCCAAATCAAGGAAAATGTGAAAAATTATAGCAAACAACGAGTCTTGGCAATCCAAACACCACATCTGAATTCTTAACAATGCTCAACACAGTGTGCTTCGGCGATAAAATAAATAAGTTTCCATGACGAGGAAGAACTTACACCAAATTGATCGAAAGTTGATGAATATGTGCAATTTTGCGGGTAATTTGTAGAAGCAATTAAAACGGTCACGAAGTTGGTTTGTTGATGCCTTCGAGCAGGATCCAAGGCTTAATGATGCATTACCAACAGTCTGTCGTAGCCGCAACCAAAACCAAGAGTGGTTTTGAGGGTGCTATAGCCGACTAGTTACAAGACAGAAATCAGAATTGCTTGAACACTATTCAACATCTTGGAGTACACTTTATCTTACTCCGATTTTCCGCCTAGCGAGATCTATCAATTAAAAAATGATGGAGTTGACTGTAATAAATCAGATTTATTAGAAGGAAGCAGAGCCTGAAACAGGTATCTGGCATAATCCTAGCTCTTACCACCAGTAGCTTTCACTGCCCTAGTATTCTTAAGTGAATAATTCTTTATTGCACTTTTTTCTGTTGGTACAACAATATGGCCTCTATTTTTTGACGAACAAAATCTCATGTATTTTTTTCTCTGACGTGTAGGACCAAGATGCTGTATATCTCATCACTGATGGGGAATCAGTTTCTGCCTACTATGAGCTTCTACGTAAAGAACTATCACGCATGCGTTGCCCACTGCATATTGTTGCATACGGGTGTACCGACATCGACAGTTTGAAGTTGTTATCCTCTCTGAGCATAGCTACCGGTGGCAGGTGAGCGCTTCGTCATTCTCATTCGAGAACTCGTTTTGCCTCGTTAGGCGAAGCGGGTCTTTACACCAGCATAGCAATTTTAATGAAAACGGGCTTGTCTTGCCTTCCTTAAGTTCATGTGCACATTAACAAAGTCAACTGGTGATTGAGACACAGTTGAATGATTTATAAAAGTTCAGTTGTTTAGCTTGAATTCTCCTGAAATAAACTCTTCGTCAGGTTGCTTAAAGGTCATCTGGACCACCAATTATCGTTATAACTAAACAAAAATCCCTACTGAAGCTGCGGCTCTAGTGGCCAAGTAAACGTGTACCAATCTGCTGACGGCCTTCTGTGATTTTCGACCGTCCTGCATTCTCCTATAGAATATTAGTGGAATTTTATTACGATACTGTTCCTTTCTTACCCATACAAGCCACGTAAACCTTATCAGATGTTTTATGGGTTGAGTGAACTTCCAAAGGATCGAAACTCATTGTGCGTGGAAGCAAACAGGTGATAAAAGTGTAGCAAAACATAGAATGAGAAGTAGCCTGGAACCCATCTGCCATTCAGTCATGTAACAACGTAACCACGGATATCTTCTGCCTCAAAATAGCCAACACTGCAAGAAATAGTGACATTGTGTTACTCCGGTTGCTTATGGCCCTAGAGTACCAGTTAAACTAGTTCACTGTCCGTATCTGTTCAGCATCAGCTGATTGGAGGTCAAATTCGCCGTCAAAATGAGAATTTTTAGCTGTGGGTGTGATTGTTCCATGTAAAGTGTGCCTACCTGGTGAACCTTAAGAAACGCTATAAGGGTTGTCGGGTGTCAAGGAATAACTTTATGAGTAGTGTTTGTTTAAAAAACTACTTTTTTTCTGAAGTTTACAGTAGCATACACATACACATACAAAGGATCTGGGTGATGAACCGGCTTTTGTAAAACATCTGATGTTAAGATTGATACCAATCACCAAGCCAAGCAACAGTCATTTGGAAAGATGAGTTTCTATCTGTCAAGCAACTTGTATTAAAATTCAAATAGTTGCCTGTCTTTGGTATTCATTCTTCGGATAGTGATCACAAGAACCGCTTCAGAAAGGTTTCTCTCCCCAAAAAATCGCAGTTTATCAAGTGAATAGAGGACGCTGAATGTGCTTTGCTTCTGGTTTCAGCGACATATATGAGTGCGTAGAATCAAAAGTAAAGCTAGGATCATTGCCCATCTTTACGGCTACTATGGTTGGCTGGACCTGTATAAATGCGAGTTGAGCTTTCTATCCACACATGACTAGGCAGAGTCCATTTTATTTTGAAAGGGGCTTTTCTTCCGGACCTCTGAACGACAGGTGTCTTTCTATATCTCAGGCATGGCAGATCGCGCTTATACTAGACGTTAATTTCAATGGGAGCAACCTTTTATTCCAATGGAATAAGCTCCGTGGCTCATGGTATCGGCTTCTCCGCGAAGATGGTGGACACTGTCTTGGGGGAAATTTGGCATAATTTTTCAAAAAGACCAGCTGAATAATAAAATAGTCGTCCATCTGTAACACCCTTTTAGTGCCTAGCTGCCATATCACCCGAGAGAACAACGAGAGCTGGGATACTGCCAGCTTGATCCAGCCTAGACAGAAGTAGTCGAGATTCCGAGTTCGGGTATGAGCCTAGGACCTGCTGATCACTAAGTTCGTCCCTGAATCTAGCTTGGGGTCACTTGATTAGTCGTAACAGGATTTAATAAAACTATTATACTTAATCAGTCGCTTCATGGCTTGCAGTTCATTTTTGGACCCCTTTTAGAGGGGTTGGTTAGGGCATTTTGTTGTTAACATAATGAAACAAGTTTAAGAAATTAAGTTCAATCTCTTGACAGATTGGCATTGAGAAAAAGGACCTCTATTCTCCAAGCCAATCTGTGTTTAAACAACACCCTCTACCCTTGTTAGTTGAGTGTCACAAGCGCTGAGAAGAAAAATCACTCAGTTACTGTAAGTTTTGAATAAAGAGGTACAGCATTGTCCGCAAGATAGTCTCCTAAAAATATTTATAGCTTCTAACTTACTTACATTTTCAACCTGAATGGAAAAGCAACTTCCGTGCATAATGGCTGTAGCACTACTTTGCTACTTTGCTTGTCCAGTATTACTGCGGAACATATCAAATGGATTGATGCCTGTTTCGGTTTCGCGTCACAGGGAATGCCCAAGCAGGTGGCGTTATATTATGTGACACGATGATCTGAGAAAATGTTCTTGTGGATTAATAGCTCTGTGACATACTGAGGGTCAGGGAAGTAACTACTTACCTAATAATTTCAGACTTTTCCGACAGAAACACAATGAGCAAACCTAGGGATTTGTAATAGGCGATTCTTCTGATATTTTGACGTTTAGATATTTACACATTTTTATTATAGGTTTCACGCATACGCTCCGAAGGGATGCCTGTTAGACTATTCAGCCAGTCCTGTGGATTCTGCAAACCCTGAGGCTAGAGTAACTGCGTCCGAAGTGGTCTACGGTGGAACTCCTGAGGGATGGCCTCAACGAGAGGACTGTATGAGAATATTTGAAGAGTTGGAGGAGGCAAGGTCAACTCTAAATCAAATTCAGCAGGTTATAGAAGCCATGGATAAGGGGCTTCCTGTTCATATAGAAGGTAACCAATTGCATGATTAAGGCTGTTCTTGGAGTTACCAGTAGAGTCCATTGGCAAAGATCCATTAAACCTTTAGTTGCTGATTGCCAACTGTTAGCAACTAGTGCCGTCCAGTTCCGCTGGTCCCTTCTAGGCCAACACGTACAGCTTTCTTTCTATTGAAAGAAACTGGAGAGGATTCTCCACTTCTTACTTGATAAAACTACGTGGCTGAAAGCTAAGATTTCTGTTAGTGAGCCTGGAATTGGCAGGGTGAAATTCCATTCGTAAAGCCAAATGGAGTTCTCTGCAATAAGTATGGGAAGACTGATCGCACTATACGGACAAATCTTACCGTGATAGCTTTTCTAGTTTTCACGCCGGAAACTGATGCAGTCGCTTGGCATCTGGAGCGCCATTTCGAAAGTATGTTCGGGAGCTCCTAAATCAGCAGATGGAACTGTCCGGAAACTTAATTTCCCTTTATATGGGCGACCATATTGATTTCTCTAACGCACGTGGTTGTACACAAGCCGTCTTAAGGTTCCTTCGTAAGCATGTTTTGTTTAATTGGTTGGTAGCGTAAGCATGTTTTTGAATTTTAAGGGGGATTTCGTTTTGTAAGTGAAGCCAGTCTGTGCTGGTTGGCTTTACCTCCATAATTTCACACTACTGATCGTCAGTAAGTAGCTCAGAGAAAAACAAAATTCACGTGTTGAGTGAGAGTTCCATCTAAGATGTCATCTAAGGGCACAGTCACCATGTGTGATCGCGTGATATGGACTCCGTGTGTGAATGATGGGTAGCGCTATATTCCTCCAAAATGGGGTTATCATACTGGTTAATAATCATCCTTGGTCGAACTCTTATGTGTTCAAATCACTAGCTGAGTGGTCGTGGTTTTGGTACTCCTTTTCGTTTCGTGAGATGCTGCTTTCTAATAAGGATTAGACAGCTTCACAGTGCTTCGTTTTTTTAAGGATTAGACAGCTTCACAGTGCTTAGTTTTTTTTTATCATAGAGTGGCTTCACTTAAAGAATGCAATGTGCATCAGAAGTTGTCAGAAACTGCCTACATTTTTCTGTATTTAGTATGTGAAATTCGGGACTAAAGCTTGGCCAAAATTTGCAGATATTGTACTGCCGACATGGCATTGTTTGAAGCTTTTCAAACGGACTAACAAACTCATGTATTAGCATGAATGGGAACAACAATAACAGGCCCACATGATGGAAACGCTGGGGTTTTCATTTTGTAATAATGATGCTGAACTTGCACCTGGTCTCATCGATGAACTTACCAACATCTCACATCTCGCAAACGAAATTCTGTGTGCTTTACTCGTGTCCTACATATATAAGATACAACGAGCTAGGAGTAAACATAGATTTATGTGTTTGAGAACGATAAAAAGGGTCGTATTCGAAAGAAGGGAAGGCACGCAGGGGGGCATACAATCAGGAAACACAGGTGTACGCTTAAGTCAATGTCCAATTAACGGAAACAAGTGGAACAGAATTTCTCTACAGTTTACAACATGGGTCATTAAGTAAGCCGAACCCACACGTACTCTTAATTAACCAGACTTTTTAGTTGTTCGGCAGTGATGTAGCACTGTCTCTAATGGCGGGTAGGACGATGATGCTATGCATAGTTTTATCATACATCAGAAAATGAGTAAGTAATGTATTCAGTAAATTTGGTTTCTACACACTGCTTTGATAAACTTTAGTCTCATACTGTACACAAGCGAATCTGTCTTTTATTCGTGTCACACCATTCTGTCTACAGTACCATGTACGGAGGATGATTGTACTAGAAGCCTGCATAGTAATCCCCCCACAAACAAGCAGGAGGAACAAATGTCCTCAAAACAGTGGCTCCAAAGACATGGTCTGGGAGCACAGCGTTTGGATCTCTTCGACGTACTTGCACAAGCCTGCTTTAGACATTGTGATGGCATGGTTGATATACTGCGACCACCCACAGAGGAAGGATCTGGTCAGTCTGAAAAAAATCAGATGAAGGTCTTTAGGCACAAGGAGCTAATGACCGAGCGACTGACCGCACCCTTGGTGCCTAGCGCGGTGAGTTCTAACAGAAGTAGTGCGACATTTTTTATGCTTCGTGTAGTTATTAGAGTCCACGGACTCAACATTAATGCGATTTCCCCATGCAACAGCTCTCAGGTAATTTAAGTGTGATTAGATGGATGGTTCACTGTATACTTTCCCACCCTCTGGTTAACTCATATATAAGCAAGTACCCGTCAGTTCCAAGAAAGGGCCGTGAAACGGCTTATGAATGAACCTCTGTAATGAAGTTGCTGAGAGGTGAATCATGGGCCACAATTTTTTCTCTACAACTGCCCATACCAGAATTGTGCTACTAAAAAGCTTACTAAAAAGTAAGCTAAGCACCAAATGGTAAACACGGTTATCATTTCTTGGAGATGCCAGTCCTCCACTACGGCGTATCTTAGTAGCAATCTCCTCAAGGACAGACGGGACCCTTTTGACCCCTTACAGTGTTTGTTTAGCGGTGGAAACTAAATGACAAGAAGGCACAAATAAAAGTAAGCTCGGGGAAGTGCCATTTCATGAACAGCAGCAGTTTTCTAAACAGACCTCTGGCCTCCTCTATCCGCATTTTTTCAACTCACAAGTAAGAATTTAGTTGACGGATGTGTCCAAGTCCCTCATTATTAGCCCGTGGGTAACATGCTCTGAGTATACCTTGATGAATACTTAGGGTTAAAAGTATCCAGCTATTTTATTAATAAATCTGCCAGAAAACAACACGTTTAAGATGGGCCGACAGCCACTTGGAGGGGCCCACACAGGGAACCGAAATCCGGTTGTCCCAAGTGGGCTAATAGCATTTTGGTGGTTATCAATCAGTTGTGATGGCTTCTCTCCCATTGGGTCTCTTCAGTTCTCTCGACCGACTGTTAGATGTGGTGATAGATGTCCATTTTGTTGTCGTGGTTTGACATGTACTTTAGAAATCATCCACATGACAGAAATCATGCATCAATTTTCCTTTTGTAACTCATCAATAATGCGTGTGCTCGATCACGAACTAAAGTCGAACTGCTGTCTGACCTTTGGCGGAGGACACACTGTTGATCAACAACTCATAGCCCTTCGCACAGCCCTTACTTTTTTCAAATGTGATGGGATACCTATCCACCTCACTACAAGCCTTTCTCCAAGTAATTGGTGTGAGTTACCGGGCGTGTGAAAGAACTACGAATTTGGTTCCTGTTTATACTCCCTGAGTTCAGTGTTTCCGATACCTAAGTAGTGATTACTTCATGTTGTTTGACAAATTTGTATCCATTTCGAGTCATCCAAGCTTAATGTTGTCCAACAGATTATTCATCCAAAACACATCGATGCTTGCTACTGTGATCAGTTTGCTCATATCATCTGGAAGGATGGTCAGATTGTCCACGTACAGGTTACTCCTGAACATTACCGACTCTACGCACGCAGAGTTCAGGCCAATCTAACTGCAATTCAAAAGCGCATCGACTGGCTTTGTCGTGGCTCAAGAGAACTGTTCGGAACAATAACTGAAGATAATGTGAGTGTCAGAAAATCCCCGAATCTTTGTCGCGAAAGTTAGCGTACGGTATTTTAGCTGTCGTGGTTTTTACTACTTTAAATGCTTACCCAAGGGATTAAACACCTTGGTTCTGATAGCCGATAAGTGTCGATCCCTCAGTGGAATTATCCTACGCCGAACAATTCGAAAGTGAAATATGTCAACCAGATGCCATGCAATCCAAGAGGGTTAAGAGTTCTCATTTGCTGATGGCCTTAAAGCTGTAGTTGAACAGTTCTTAGGTATCAGAATTGTACGAAAAGACAAACGCAGTATCCAAACTGTTAACGTTTTAAGACGCAAGCAACTGCATGTTCTGCAACCAAAAGGACTTACTCTAGACTTTTATTGATCAAAGTAGACGATGGGGTGGTTTGAGTGTTTGTGACGCCTGATCTGATGAGTGACCTCTACACTCTCATCAGGTAATCTAGAAAACTAAGATATTCTAAACATTGAACTCCTTCGATCCATCGGAACAGTGACAAGAAATAAATCTTAGGATGTAAGCCTCAAACGAAAACGTGAGACAACACAGTTATATGCATTTGGACAGGCGTCTGTTGGTAGTGAGGTTGATGAGTAAACTTGAATTTTACACCGTAAATGCAATCAACCTGTACTGAGAAGTCGAAAATCAGGACACAACTAATTTCATCCGCATGGAGATACTCATCGGCCTTCATCTCGCGTATTTCTGGATTGGTTTGCATCCACGAGCACACTACATTCTGGCCAGGAGTGACAGATTAGCATAAAGATTAACTAGCGCCTAGACGGGTTACTCGCCCTTAAGTCACTCAACTCAAATTAAGTGCTCACATGGTGTTTCGCTCCTCAGGTGAAGAATTCGCAACTGGAAGGCAGAAGTGACTTGAGGCGAATCACACGGGGGCCCGGTGTTTAGTCCCAAAGTCGTTCTTGGAATGGTTTCTTTGAAGTTATTTGCCTCTTCACTAGTATCCGAGTTCACACATCAATAGGGTCATTTGTTTGCTCTTTGAAGGTCTAGCGTAAGAAATGTCCAGTGAAAATAATGGAACATAGCACCGGAACACTGAAAAAAATAACGAAGAATTATGCTTCGTTCGATCGCGGAGCACTTTTTGTCCACATAGTTGTATCTAAGCTACCATCCAAAATCTCAATATAGGAATACGGCCCTTTTGGTGTTGGTGACTAGGGAAGATGTGCACGGGAACTACTCATACAAACTGAATCAACCGTGTACAAGTACAACTTCGCTCTGACTATCATATCCAAACGTTTGCTGTTTATGGGTTGTTCCTAATAGATCCAAATGTGTATGCGTTTTCTACTTTTCCCAGGCAAGACTAAATGAGACATTTGCATCTCAAGTTTTGGGTCTTACTCCTGTCCTGTTCAAGTCGGTAGTGTTCAGTGGAAATTCGGCGGAATTCGGCGTCGATTAGTGTGAGTAAGGCGATCTATACGGTGTACAGTGAAATTCTGCCCAAGATAACAACCAGGTGTATGGGGTATTCGGCTGGGCATTCGGTGGTCTAGGCAGAAATGTTTGAAAGACCAACATTAGTTATCCACTTGGAGTGTGTACTTCAGCAAAATGACTGAACCGTACGGCAGCAAACCGGCAGCATTCTGCACCGGGATTTCCGTCAATGATTGGCAAGACAGATAAAAGATGGGTCGCTAGCAAGAATATCTGGTGTAGCATAACCAGTGGTGCATCCATATATTGACAGAGGATCCCAATAATAGTTATAGGTGTTCGCGGGGTTCGTAGAATTCACGTTCAAACCACTCTCGTTTGAATAGTCCCCGTTTTATCCTGATGTGCATTCACCAGAATAATTGCATAAGGAATGGAGGAGGACTGTTCAGACGAGAGTCATGTGAAGGTTTATACCCAATATCCTTTGTTCATTCTCCACGAATACCGAATCCCACAGATGATTCCGGAACAAATTTTGTCACATAGTGTTCTCTTTGTCCACCTTCTCGTCCAGGTTTGTATCGTGATTGATACCAGCACATCAATGTCGCCTTCCATTAATTTCGTCAAACAGAAACTGTTGCTGCTGCTTCAGGAGCAGTTGAAATATAGGAAGAAAATGAACTTCATCGCATACAGTGACAGAGTTATGGCTTGGAGTGAATACTGTTTGGACACTACTGCGGAGAACATCATAGTACGTTCCATTATTTGCTTTTAATACTATAAACTTCGCAACTGATCTTGCGTATTGTAAGTTGGCATTTTCCGGTTTTGCCATACAATTTTGATTTTTGTTCCAATGGAGAGCCATGAGCGGCAGAACAGTCAGGTGGGTCATGAGTGTCGATCGTGGTCATCATAGCAATGTAAAAGAATGAAATGATAGGGGCATCTGCGCCCTTATAACTTGTTCAAGAACGGACATCACGTATACGGGTCAAAATAGTAACGTTCGGGTAGGACCTACCACGTCAAGAAGAGTGATGGTCTGTCGATCCCGCTCATCCGAGTGGTGAAAATGAAACTCGGAAGGTGATCAACCGATCAATTATACGATTACATTTGATAGCTTGTTTTAGCCTTGCCAACAAATAGTTCATGCTTGCAAAAGATCCCTGTCTGTTCTTTATGAGGCGGTAATGCCAAGGACAATAATTCGCCTTCAAGAGCCTGGAAATGAATGCCCTTTCTGATGGAACATATTTAGAGTGCCAAGCATTCAGGCATGTGGGTTGTAGATGAATAGCTGAATGTGTGGAAACGAAGTTTACAGCACTGTCGTCTGACGTGTAAATAGAACGCGCTATCACTCGCACCTCAGTCGTCCGGAGTTCAAATCTCGGCACAGCCAAGGATATGTTACGGTAATTAGGGCAAAACTTCAGTTCATTGCTTGCCCTGTGGTGTGGACTGACTGGAATAATTGCGGCGGACGGTCCAAACGAGAGTGCTTTGAATATTGCTTAAGTCACGTGACCTTCTGGCTGCTCATTGTAGTCGGTTTGTCCAGTGTAAGAAACAGGAAATTCAGTCGGTTAGTCACGACGGATTTGGATTTTTACCACTAAAATATAGAGAGAAATAAACACAATTTAGTCATAAATAATGAATCGAGTGAGATTTCAGTAGCAGGGATCAAGTAGCAACGAGCAACTTGCCGACAGTAACAAAGAAGAAGAATTGTAATGTGGTGTGACATTGAAGGTTATGCTAAGTGCGTTATGGGCTCAAAACATGAGTGATATTTGTAGGATGTCCTGTGAAATTCTCAAGATGGATTATCGAGAACTATAGTGTCTTGATGGGGATCCGAAAATTACTCAATCTTGTTCAAGGTAACCCATGAAGAACTCAGATCGTTTGGCTGCTTGTGGAACGTTAGCTCGTTTATGGTAACTTGCAAACGATCCTGGAACGGGCGGTTAGTAACTTCCAAGCCACCTGCCTTAAATGTAACCGATTTCAATCGAGAAACAACTGGTTGGGTCCCTAAGTCGTTAATCAAAACAGCCACAGGACTGACAAGGCCAAAGCGCTCGTGTGGGTGACTTTTCAGATGCTGACCTCCTTAGCTTATCAGCATAATTTTGCAACACCTGTAACATCATTATCATTATCGGCTGTAAGCCGTACAGCCTTTATAGCTGCCACAGTTTCGTCCACCAATCATTTGGGAAAGTGGGGTAGGTAGGTGCGCACTGGAGGCGGGAGCTAATAAATTGGTACGTAAATACACAACAGATAGTGAACTTTTAAGTTTGGAGGGGATTATGAAGGGAACCATGCATTGAAGGCAATAGCTTGGATGCACGAGCCTCATTGAGAGAGCAACCGGGCCATGTCTGACAATGTGTCTAACCATGAATGTTCTCCGACCCGGCCATAAAGAATGGCACAGTCTCTGCAAGAGCTGCATGAGATGTGCATTGCTGACTATTCTAAACAAGGTCGAAACAGCTCCATATCAGTTTTTGGGCCTTCAGCATAAAATAACTCCGATTACATGACAAAATTCCGAAACGTCTTCATTGCCCACAGAAACTCTTGTTTCGAATGCCCTCACAATGGATTGTGAAGAAACATTCATAATTGGACATTTTGGTCAGGTTTAAGGTGATTTTTTAAGCATAGTGACTTCTCTCTTTACTTAAAACATACACTCGACCAGCTCCATCATTAACCCTGACGACAGTGTTAAACCTAGTATCAGTTCTTCGAAAAAGTGTGGTGACAGTCGGTATCAGTTCACCTTTTCAATCAGCCTAGTTACTACTAGTGAGCCATATTCAGGTAGAACGCAAGTCATGCTACCTTCCGTAGGTGTGATACAGCCCTTTCAAGCCTCTGCTTTGGGTTCCCAGTCTAGTTCTAGCAGCTACGAGAAATCTCGCGTTTTGACTGCTCACTGTTGCCAAATCAGTTGCTATCCCCGGTCTCGATAATGAGCCAAAGCAATGTGCCACTGACCAAAAACCGGCTTAGGAAAACTACCAACCATAATTCGGAATTGTGATGCTCCACTCTGCTTGCATTCATCGTGGAAGGCTTCCTGATGTTGAGATTCCTCTTCCCTGCAGTTTCATGATCGTGTACGAAGAAGACCAAAGTAAATAACAGTTAGCCCAAATGGTTCACGAAAACCTTAACAGTAGTGTTTTCGGCATTGACAAGAGTGAGAACCATGAAAATATGACTGATCACGTATGAAGTAAATCCATCCCATGATACAGACCGTGTAAGTGAACAATCTGACACTGTCAGGGTATTTGTATCGAATCACTGGACAGATAGATCGTCCATTAAAGGAAGTGCGAATGACTTTCCTGTTTCAATGCACCCTGACAGTACCCGATTATGCGTAACCCTGCATGAAAGACACGGGTGATATACAAACGTGTATATGGTAGATGCTTCCGCTAAATATATACATGATTTCAATACGCAGGAAGCTGTATACCGTTGAAAAACCTGGCACAAGGGACTGACGGTCAGATTGTGACAACGAAGGACGTCACGTGAACGGCGAGCAAAAACTAGTCCAATGGGCGAAATACACTCATTTGCAAACAAATTTAACTTTGCGGGAGACTCAGCTGAAACCCAGCTGAATCCTTCGTTTATGATGTTTTCAGGAAAGTGAATGTGCTGCTTGAAAACATCATAAACGAGAGATTCAACTAGGTTTCAGGTGAGTCTCCCGCAAACCCAAATTTGTTTACAAACGTGCAATTCGGGTTGAAGAAGAACATAAGGTTGACGGAAACGCGGAGACTGAGCCTACCTGACGAACCCCAAGAAGGGCAAACTGGTCGTGAGCTGTCGAAGAATTTTCAGTAACCTTATTAGTAGTGTATTACGTGTGGTCCAATGGGATTTTGGTGTGCGTGTAACAGAGGGATCGGCACATCAACGCCATGGATGTACACGTATTGGGCCGATGGTAAGGTAGATTTTAGGAAACGGGTAATCATGAAAACTTAGAAAATTGCATATTTGGAGTAATGAAACTCCCAAGACCTATCGGTTTGTTTCAGTATCTGGGTTAATCCGGGTATCTCTAGACCCGGATACCAGTGCTTAAGAATTTGTAAACCAGGACAAGTGTTGTTCTCCGTGCCTCCTTCAATACGTCGCAAACTGCGAGGCGGACAACGTATAATTGGCATAGGGTGTTAAGAGGTCACGAATGATTTGATTGTTGGCTCAATCGGACTTTCAGGGTGGGACTCAGATATTGTCTTGTAGTTGGTTAAGAAATAGAGGTCCATCTGTGTCAGTGGTATTCGTGCCGTCATTTTTTCCCACAGATTTTCTAATTGAGCAGATGATTTTCTAATTGGGCAGATGGATATGTGAGCACTTCGGAATGCTTGCGATGAGCCTGTATCCGATTTCTTCGTAGCCCCTCTTTCCTCTTCTTTTCACTTCAAGGCCGTAAATGAGTGTTTGCACGGCAGTGAAGCGTCAGTGTCAGTGGTGATATCACTGTCCCTTATGATGAAGACGAACACGATTTTCATACCCGTCTTTTTTAAACCGTACCGGTTGTATATCTCCCTCACAGACTATTCCAGGTGCAAACTTACGATTAGTCAACCTGGAAAGGAAACCTAGTTAAGTATGCAATGGACCCACTCTGGGACCCCCAACATGTTCGAAAGGTCACGAAAGGCCTTCATTATAGAAGCAGTCAATTATTCAACTGTGAACCACCTACCAAAGTGTAAAGTGCTACTGCAAGACTGGGTGGGCTCGAACCCTAACCTCATGCTTGCGGATGAACCGATTGAGGTAGTAGACAAATTTGTTTACCTGGGCAGCTGTATCAGTCCCGGTGGTCTGGCGAACGATGAAATTACCATCCGGATTAAGAAGGCCAGAGCAGCTTTTGCGAACCTACGTCACCTGTGGCGTAGGCGTGACATCAGCTTCTCTGTCAAGGGTCGAGTTTACAATGCTGCGGTGCGCTCCATATTACTATATGGATCAGAAACCTGGCCGCTGCGCACCGAGGACGTCAAAAGACTTTCAGTGTTTGACCATCGACGTCTTCAGAGCATTGCCCGAATCTGGTGGGAACACCGGATCAGTAATTCTGAGGTACGTCGAATGGTATTCGAGAGAAATAACTCACCCTCGATAGATGAACTGATCACACTGCACAGGTTGCGTTGGCTTGGCCACGTGCTGCGTATGCCAGTCGACCGACTTCCTCGAAGGGCTCTTTTCGCCCAACCATGTGAAGGGTGGAAGAGAGCCAGAGGCGGTCGAACAATGACTTGGCAGCGAAGTATGAAGGCCATTACCAGCAAACTCAGCTGCGTTGGTCACTGTCGTCTTCCTGGATGGGGACCCCGAGACGGGCCACATCAATGGCTAGGGACATTATCAG